CATAACAACGCCAGCTTGGGTTTTTTACACAAGCATAAAACGAGAAGACCGCAAGCAAAGGTGTAGTTTTCAGCCGAGGGCCTCAAGTCACCCCCCCCCCCCCCGTCCCTCCCACCCAGCTTTGGGAAGGAAGGTGGGCCAATCAGGAGAGAAACACGGTTTGGTGCACGCTGTTTGTTTATGCTTTATAAGTGCGATTCCTTGGTTTGTATCGTCTAGGTTTGCTATGTAGTCTCATGTTTGCTCTGTATACCCTGACAATTCTTCTGGACTTGTTTTGGACAGATCATAAAAACACAGTATTGAGGGTAGATTAAGCAATTTTTTCACTGCTAAGCCCGCCCATCTCACCTTGTTTTGCGATTACAGCCCTGGACTGCAGGCCTTCGAATAGCCTGTCTTCCAGAAAGAGGCACGAATTGATCTTAATCTATTGTTAGCAATAATGGGGATAATGGCCCTTCGCCGTGTCTGTGCGAAGCTGACCAAAGTTTGAGCACGCGCCCGCTGTCTAGCCACCGTCACTTCTCCTTGCAACAGCGTAAGAATATTCCCGATTTCCCTTCGAAGCAATGTACGCAGCCTGAGCAGCTGCCTCTCGAACGTCAGCTTCGACTCCACGACTTAGGTCGATGAAAGTCAATGGAATTCAGCACACCAACTCGATGGGACAGCGCTGAACGGGCCCCAAGGTCTTGAAGGTTCCTGGTCGCCCTGGCGGCTGATTGGCCACAAATGTCATTCGCCGCGCTGTCCCAAGGCTTATTCCCTCGCCACGGCTCGCGAAGATTAGGTTACGGGAACTCCCGGCGGCTGTTACTGGATTCCACCTGCAATCGCATGACCCGAATCACCACCCCCTTCTGAAGATCGCTACGAGCTAGCAATCTTTGTGCAAAAAAGTCTGGGCTGTGATTTGGATTATACATCTTAGAGACCAGCCTAGGCTGTCTGTTTCAGAATGCCTGCTTTTTCTGTCTCGAATGACGCTGACCAACCTCTGGTGGCTGAACAATGACAAAAGACGAAACCTTCCACCAAAATACCTCCCAAAACGCATTTATTTCTGGATTTGGACCAACTGTTGACATGATATTGATATCGCATGATATAAACCATGATATCGTTAAATGTAGGGTGATAGGGATACAGTTTTTTGAAATACGTAGGGATTAGGGATGGGGGGACGAAAAAATGTCTGAGCCTGCCTCGGAAATGCTCTTGAAACTGTTTTCTCTTTAGATTTGACGATCTTCCTTTCACACTTGTGAGCAGGAGTGTTGTTTCTCGAAATTAGTATGAGGGCTAAACCCTAAGAATTATGATTAATGAAAAAGTGCTTAGAAAATGATGGCTAAGAATAGGAAACTACATCTATGGTTAGGAGGCACAGTCCCTTCCCCCCCCCCTCCCCCAACTGAACAAGGAACTACACGCCTCTAGGCTGGCTATATTAAGTATGCCTTTATCTGATAACTTTATTGGCTTAGTCGCGACCATCTATGAATGCCTGATGACCAGCAAACGATGCTGAAGTGCAAGTGAACTGGCGAGACGAAAATATTTGATGGTTTTGCCGCACTCCATTAAATTTGTTTTTGTTTCTGTGGGTTATTGCATTCAGAGTTACATTGCAACGGTTTCTAGAATATTTGGCTCCAGGTGACAATTTAGACGGTCCCAAATTTTGTCGGTGACAGAAAAGGCACTTTCCCACCTGTGAGCACATCTTCCGTTTAAGACTGACAGTGCACGGTATTCGCCGTTTGCTCTTGTGCTGTGTGCGGTTGGCGGACTAGTTGTGGTGCGCTTTAACCACTCGATTGGGTGTTGGCAGCGGAAAGCCACAGCTGCATGGCAGCAGGGACTAAACGCTCCCCCATGGCAGCATGACCTACTGGCCAAGGTCCCGCAGGTGCCGTATCTTGCTCATTGCAACCCAAAGTCAGCCATCCTGAGCTGCTCCTAAACAAATGCCCCGAGGCACGATGTCGACCCTCAAAAACCGCACCATCGGCGCTGTTGTGGGATATCGGGCGCCCTCGGTGACCCGGCTCCCTGCCGCGCGCTCTTGTTGGAGTACACCGCTGGCCGTCGCTGGGGCCGGCTCTGCGCGCGCCTCCTCCCGGACGCGCTATCTGCATGAGGATCCCATCGGCCACTCTACCGGCCGGCTGGCGTTCAGCGTGCGACTCGGCACACAATACGGGAGTTCACTCTGCATCAACGCAATCACGTACCCGACGCACTCACGCACGCACGCACGCACGCACGCAACGCACGCACGCGCACGCACACACAAAACACACAACACACACCCACACACACATAACACACACACACACACACACACACACACACACACACACACCACACATACACACACCACACACCACCACACACACACCACACATCACACATCACACACCACACACACACACACACACACACACACACACACACACCACACACACACCACCAACTGCGCCCACGGAGCTTGTATTAGCTAGTTACCTGTTGATGTTCATTATGGTAGGGCCGGTCAGGAACCAGGGTTTTTTCCGTCATGGCGTACCTTTTGGACACGGTTATAGCCCACCTCCACCAGGTTAGCTGGTGACTATATCTAAAACGGAACCAGCATGCAACTGAGTGAATTTGTAACCGTCCTTAATCTCATGAAACTTGCACCTGAAATACCCGCACGTGCCATGAGCTTAATCCCGCATCTCCTCTGCCCTTCAACGGGAATGCTCTACATTTTAAGCTGTCGATGCAAGCATTAGATGTAATGGAAAGCTATCTTGTAAGTATTGGAATGTTGTTCAGTACAAAAGACTACTTCAGATAACACAATTTCACCGTTAGCAAATGCGGTCCTCAATACGGCATCGTTTGATACACCATGAACATTTTTTTATGGCGTCGGAGTCGGCACCAGCCCGGCCGTGTCAGAATTCCCGCTGTAACAGACGGGCTGTAGCACTTCAGCTTGTCGCAAGGCGACTGCTTTGATTTGTGCATGAGCAAACGATCGTTATGCGCAGTCATTTCAGCTCTTTCTCATGGTGTTCTTGTATGCCTGTCCGTCACTGTATGCCAAATTCACGCCTTTTACCTGCGGTTCCATTCTTGGTAACGACACTGTTTTCTTAGCTTATTGAGCTTTCACCCTCGAGTCCGTTTAACTAAAGAACTGCCCAAGCGCCTGCATCATGTGCCACAAACGCGGTTTGTCATCAGGACTTGCATTTAACGCGTTAAGCTGCTTGGAAGCTAACTGTTGGCCTTTGTCGCGGAGATTCGTGCTGATTTACTTCAAACACGGATAACTCCACGGTCATATTCGTATTGACCTTGAACTCAATATGACCATCGCCGAGCGTGAAAAAGTCTACATAAGTTTGCATACGCTTAGCTAAGAAACATAAGTATTGGTGTCTTGCAAGGAGCATAGCTGTGAACTGCAGGGAATTATCTTAAAATACTATGTCAATTTAAAGCTCCATACAAATATAGAACGGTCCCTTTTAAGTAATCCACCCACTCTTCTTGCGTTCGGTTCCTCGGCACGTTTATGTCAAGTGGGCCCATTCGCTAGTGCCCACATCACCTCACTCCTCTGCGTCACGCATACGGGCTGCTCCTCTCCCCTTGTCTCTCCTTCCAGCGCCTCGGCAGTGCAACCGGCACGTCTGCGCGAGATTGCAATGAGCCACAGAACTTGGATCCATCCATTTCAAACATCCAAGGAGGCTACGTTCATGTCACATTTGAAGCGTACTAGGCTTATGTCCCTTCAGCGTGGCACTTGTGCGACTCCGGAACCGGTCTCTGGTGCGCCTGCGCCGGTTTAGCATGGGTTTAGGTCTAACTATTCAGCTTAGTATCGGTTCTCCAAAGAGGTGATAACTCTGGCTAACCCGGATATGATCGCTTTTGCGATTATCTTATACGCAACGCAACGTTGGCAAGCTAATTGGGCGTGAGCGTTTCAAGGCTTGAAGTTGAAAAAGATGACCTGAAATCAGCAGCTTTAAAACGGCTTATCGCCGGTAGTCTGTCTGCCGTTAAACGTTGTGAGGATATCGTTCGAGTGGTGTCCGTTTTTTGGACTTGACTGCAATGCCCTAAAGTTGCTTGTGCAGTTTTCGAGGGTGAAGGTGGTGACCTGATGTCACCAGTCACAGCACAGCTGCTGAAATTGCACGCGGGCCTTCTTCTGGCAAAGGTTGCGTGAAGGTCCGCTGAGTGTTTTTCGGGTTTGGATTTGGCTGTTATAATTCTGAGTGGTTTATGCGGCTTTTAAAGGTAGAGATGGTGACCTGAGCTCATAAATTTCAGAACGTCTAATGAAATTGCACGTGATTTATCTCCTGAGAGAGGTAGCGAGGGATCGGTCATGTGGTTTCTGAGTTCGGATCTGGCGGCAATTTCTTAAGTGGTTTATTCGGTTTTTGAAAGTGAAGATGATGACGTGACATCACCACTTTCAGAACGGTAAAGGAGATCGCGTTCTAACTTTCGATTGGTTTTGGTTTGGAGGATTCCGGATTTTGGACTTGGCTGCATGAATTGCGGCGAAGTAGATTTGTCCCGGCCCACCCGTCCTAACCAGTGACGATTTCAAACAGCTTATATCTTTACCACCACGCACTAGTCGTATCGCCGTGCAGTTGTCAGCAACAAGCAGCCCAGCCCATCAAAACTTACGCCGCAATACTCAGCATGACATTTTCACAGCGACTATTTGATGACACTCTTATCATGGTTGTATCCTCACGACTTTATCTCCGCTGCTCCTCCGCCAAATTCCTGCCAAATTCTAATTCCTGGCAAATTCTGCCAAAAATCCTCTGCTAAAATGCATTTTTGGTCAATAATATGGCGGCATTTGAATGATATATATGGTAGCTGTACAGCTAGGTTCTGTACTTGGCGCACACGTTTCTATCTTGGTGCAGAATGAAATCATTACGACTGGTGCTTGTTATTGCGTTTCGGAGGGTGAGTTCGGGTGGGGGTGTGGGTGGTGATTAGTCATCAAATATTTTCCTGATAACTATTTTATGTCAGCTGCCAGTGAAAAACGAAGGAATTGCAATGTTTGTTATGATTTTCCGAGTGCAAGGGCTTTACCTCCTATGTGTTAGGAGACCTGCCCTGGGCACTTTTAATTTCCTAAGTTGAGATCCTAAGTGGAAGTAACCGTTATGCAGAAATAGGGGAAGGCAAGCCTGAAAGGACTGTTCAAGCCAACCATTATTTTGGGAAATCTCTGCTCCTGCTTATAGAACTAAACATACAGGTGTTAAAATTGTGTCTGTAAATTTATCAGAACATTGCAATCTGAGGCATTGCTCTAGAATATCGATCGAGTTTAATCTGTGTGTGTCAGTGGTCACAATCTAGGCTGTCAGCTTATTATCAGTGAAATTAATGCCACCCATTGGGCTTGATATTTATGTCCACAAGATATGATGTGACTAAAATATGCATGGTTAGTCATGGATGTGATTGTTTTCCGTGTTGAGTGATCTCTCAGCAATCTTGGTTTTTGTGTTGAAGATTACTTGCCCTCATTGTATGAAAGGGTATGGATAGCAACCAGTTCACGCATTATCAGGGTTTTAAGTAATCATCGGCCTTAATTTTGTGAGAAAATTTGACATTGACCACCTGGGAACACTGCCTTGAAATTTGGAGTACCTATTCAGTGTTCTTGTGATATGCATCAGTGGTTGTTTGATAGCATTGCTTAACCAATGCCTCCTTATATATTATGGGTGTCATATTCTCAACATAAGGGTTCTTAAATGCTAAAACACTATGAGATCAAACCCTTTCATGCTTATGCTGTTTTTCAGCCTGCCTGACAAGGTTTTGTTAATGTTGTGACCATGATAATGTCACATCTTTGAAGTGCAATGTGATATAAAGCAGCTTGAGTTTTCTAAGATGTCTACTTGAGATCTTATTATTCTAGACTGCTTATTTAGAAGCATGCTGCAGTTTAATAAGAAACAAGTTATATTTGGGTAAGAAGTTAAGTGTGATGTTGACCATATTTTTGTGTGTTCTTTTTCTGACTTAACATGCTTTTCAGCATATTGGCCAGTAAAAAAGACAACAGCAACCATCCGGAGATGGAAATTGATCCAAAAATGCTGGTAAGTATCTTTCTCATTGTCATTTATCATGACTTACCTCAAAATAGAGTATTTTGATAAGAACTCTCAGCTTCTCATGCATCTCTAATGTGGATTGTTTCATAAGAGCCATGTGCTCTTTGAATTTGCATATATTTATGGAAAGCACAGTATTTAAAGTAAAAGTACAGTCGCAGAAGCCAGAGCACTGCATTCAAAACTCTGTAAATTCAACTGGTCTTAAGAGAACTGAAGCACAAGTTCACACATCATTGGAAGGAAACATGTGGTTGTTATGGAGCTGGGTAAATTTAGCTGCCATGCACAAGTACTGCTGGCAACCAGTCTGACCATTGCTGTCAAGCTTAGGAAAGCTGTCTATCTGTTGCCAAAGCATGCATGCTTTGGTGACAGGTGTGCTGCCTGTTGTAATCACTTCTCATCATCACACAAAAGCAAGTGTCTCTAGCTAATTTGCAGCACTTTGCCTCCCACAGACCTTGTATCACACAGGTCAAAATGTCATAAAAGCCTCTCATATCATGGCGAGTGGGCCTGTGAGTGGCCTTCCATGCGGTGCCCCATGCCAACGTGATTATTCCCAGCAGGGGGCGGGCGGCGGCGGACAGTCTGCTGAGAAGCAGAAGGAGGCGGCTGCGCAGCGGGAGGAGATGAAGAACAGCATGCTGTCCAGCCTGCTGGACCAAAAGGCGCGAGCACGGCGTGAGTGGCGCCCCCTGTCGTGAACCTCAGTGGCACCTCTGCAGTGGCTGGCTGCAATGGTGACCCCATTAGGGCAGTGCCTACGCCCAATAGTATCGTGATTGAGCATTCTGCTTATGACCTCTCATGGAAACATCACAGCCAAAATCTACTCCATCCGCCATCCCTGTCCCTTATCGCCAGCCGGTGCTCCCGCTCTAGCCCAACGCGACGGCAATGGACTGGGCCGATGTCGAACATACATGTGTGGAGGGGACGGAGGGACAGACGCCTGGCGGCTGTCTCCCTGGCGCTGGACGCGCGTGACAGGCGGGGGCGTGCCTCCAACACAGTGGGCGCTGACGCCCACCGGTGCTTCCCCTTTGCTGAAGTGATCTCCTGAGTGCTTGCATGACTTCTGAGCCTGCTGTGACCGTGTGATGGCTCCATTGGCCTCATGGCACCCGATGCAGACTGACGTTCATCGTGATTGCGCTTACCGTGGCTTGTGGCCTGCCGTGACCTGATGCTTTTGCGACCTGACCCTCTGACGCGCATTGACCCTCTGACATGCACTGACCCTTCGACACGCACTGACCCTCTGAAGTGCACTGACCCTCTGACGCGGCGCGCCGACCTTCTGACGCGCACTCACCCTCTGCTTCGTACTGGCCCTCTGACGCGCACTGACCCTCTGACACGCACCGGCCCTCTGACACGCACCGGCCCTCGGACGTTCACTGGCCCTCTGACGCGCACTGGCCCTCTGACGTGCACTGACACTTACGCGCACTGACCCTCTGACGTGCACTGACACGCGGTCCATATTGATGCTCTGACGCGCACTGATACTGGTGCGCGCTGACCCTCTGACGCGCACTGACCCCCTGACATCCACTATGACCAGCTCACTCCCGTCGTCACCCCTGACACGCCCACCCCGGCAGTGAACACGATCCTATTGGCGAAGCCGGAGAAGGGCGCCCAGCTGGAGGCGATGCTGGTGAACATGGCGCGCTCCGGTCAGATCCAGCAGCGGCTGACCGAGCCGGAGCTGGTGGGCCTGTTGGAGCGGGTCAGCGATTCCGTCCAGGGCCGCGCTACCGGCAAGGTCAAGGTGAGGTTGCTGCGCCGAGAGGGGTGTGGGGCGCGGGGCGGGCGGGACGGCTGAGCTGCGCCATGTGGATGACAGAGACCCATGCGGCCGTGAAGGGTGTGGGTCGGGGGAATGGAACTGACGGTTGAAGGGGTGAGGTGAGGTTGCTGGGTTAGAGAGTGGTGAGTTTGTGGTGATGATGGCACGAAATAAGAACGCGTGCCTGTGACTGAAGATGTCGACTTGTGTGGTTGGTGTTAACGTATTTGTGTCTGTTGAAAGATATTAGATCACACAGCCGTGGACTCCATAGAAGAACAATATCGTCACGGGTACTAACCAACTGGTAGCCATCAACGTCCATGGTCTTGTTGAATCGCGGCAGCGTTGGGCTGAATGTATTCACTTTCGGATGAGGTTTGTCGTATGCATCAGCGCTGCTACGCTGCCAGCATGTAAGCTGCAGAACTTCCGACTCTGTCGCGTGGTCAGATGAATGCATGTCTCGCACGCTCAGAATGAGCTCTCGGCCGTGACCCGTGCCGTGGCTCTCGCAGTTCGACCGAAGGGCGGGCGGCCCTGGACTCGGACTCGGACGAGGACTACTAGCGCCGCCGTGACCGGCTCTCTGGCGTCACCTGTGTTCTCATCTTTGTGGCGCTGTCGTGTCACGCCTCGGGACCTGGCGCCTCGACCGGCCACGCCCCGTGTCGCCGCGGGGATCTGGCCTGACCTGACCTGACCTGACCTGTGGGCCTGGGCGTCGGAGTGTGTGTGGTCTGAGCGGGGGGCGGGTCCTGCCTGCGGTCCTGCGGGAGGGCGGGTCTTGCCCACCACGTTCGGGCGGGGAGAGCACGGACGCGGACCGTGTGTCGGCGGTTTTGTCACGGGAGCTAGCGCGGTTCCCCAAGTCACGTTGAGACCGCTGCTGCGGAGATGAAGCTCCCGCGGGGATTGAGCCTGGCGATGGCGTCGAAGGGATTTTTGACGCGGGCAGGGTGTGGTTGCCCTGCCGTTGCCGTAACACGCTTTGTATTTCATCGCGTTTGATACTGACCTGGTAATACACAAGGCCACTACATGTGAGCTGTTTCACGTGCGACTTCAGCGCCACCGACGCGGTTCGCTTAACTACCTTTGCATACATACTTAAGTAAGTTGATTTATTTAATTCAGTTGATTTTTCATGGATATTCAGTGTGCACGACAGGACTCAGTGTGGTTAAGAATTACACAATGCCTGATATTTCCACCACCTGAAACGTTCTTATGAGTCACGCAAAGGCTGGCGACTGGTGACGTTTGCAAAATATAGCTGAGAACATTGGCGAGAAACTACAGTTTGAACCGCACGAGATCGCGTGCGTCAATGAAACGCATCTGCGCATCGCGTCATACGTCGCTTTGTGCCATATTTCTCGCAGCCATCTTGAAATTCCTCAAGATAACTGACTGAGGGAGACGAGTTGTCGGAGAGCTGGTAAAGGATGCAGGCATGAGGCTGACTTTGTCCGGTTACAGCTAAGAATTATTAGAGTATCAAAACGCGTTGCCACACGTTGCACCGAGGTGTCCTTGGGACAGACTAGCTTGGGCGTACGCCGTTATGCGATGCTGCCATTCCAGACCGTTCTGACTTGTCTGTCTGCGAGTCAAGGCAGTTTGCGGGGTCTGGTGCAGAGAGTGCCGGCGCGCATTGGCGTGGAAGACACCAGTGCTGGGCCCGCATTGTTTTAAGAGGTGTAATGCTATGCCGCGGGCAGATGTTCCTTGCCCGTGCTCGTGCAGAGGGTGCCAGAGTTTGCTGATGTGGACGACGTGAAAGTCTGTCCCGGTAAAGAGGGCGCTTCAATCTAACGTTGGATAGATAGTCCAACCGTGTGACTCCGGTGCGGAAGAGCAGCAGCCTGTGGCAGCGAAGGGGTCGCCGGCCTGTGCTGGTGTGGAGGGTTTCGGAGGCTAGAGAAGTGTGGAGAGCGTCAGGCTGTCTCATACTTGGTCTACGCAAGTGTGCGACCGCAGCCGACTGCGTCGTCCCGCCGTGCTCAACGATGCGCCATTATAATGAGCTAGTTACGGCTTCATTCCATTCACCGCGTCTTAGTGAATGGCAATCTTCGTGCCGCTGAACATTAAATGAGGGAAAAGTTTTTGAAGGAATGGGTTGAACCTCTCGGAGTACAGACTTCTAGGAAATGTCGATGCCTTCTAAATCCGCTTCTAGCAACGGAAGTCTTGCCCCACCGTCATTTACTATATCTCATTTCATAGTTCCGAAATCGCCACTAGTGGCCGAAAGGACTAATTCAAACCAAACAGAAAAGGTGCGTGGTCAACCTCGTTGATAATCCCACACACCCAGCCAATGATCGATTATCGCCCGCAGACCCTCGCCATTTGGAGCGCCATCGCTGATAACCTATTTTTCAGACTACCGTGACCTTTGGGCGGATCGAATCTCAACAGGAATACCTGAAATTGGTGAAGTTATTTAGAGGTGACTCAATTCTCAGAGCCTAAAGAACCGCTCACCACTAAACCTTTGCCATTCGGCACACCATGGCAGACAACATTTCCGTCCTTATCTTGCGACCAGGCGTCTGGTCAAAAGCCATCGCAAACACCAAAACTGCCAAGCCAGTTCATAAACGGTCCCACACTCCGAGCCTCTGGGGTCAGTCGCCGCAACGCTTTCACTATGCTATGTGCCATTGTCCATAACCTACACTCTAGAAAACACCGTGGCTTTGCACTGGGTCAACGGCGGGTCAACAATCGGCTGTAGCCAGTTTTACAGTTCCGGGACTTTTTGGTGACACTTGCCTGACCTGATGTCATTTTGTTCTGAATGGGAATTACTTCGACCATGGTGCATCGGAAAGGAAAGGCCTGGTGATGATCGATTCAGTAGGTTCGAGGTAAGGGCTTGCCTGGAGTAGAATTTTGACAGTACGTGTAGATTTGCATCATTTTGCACGGGTATCAATTTGTATCCTTTTGTTGGTGGACCTCCACCCCAATTTGCCCTGGGCTCTCCCAATACTTTTTGCCTGAAATGTTACAAAAGAGTAGGAAAAGAAGTGTCGTCGCCATGGAGGGTGCGGGGGTAGACTTGAACCCGCAACCTTAACATTATTTCATCAAAGTGGTGGGCTACTGTAGACATTGACGTCGAACCTTTTTATCTTTGATGATTTTTCGTGTTGTCTGTCAAACGTGAGTCCAGACATTTTTCCCTCCTACAGCCTAAGCATGATATTGACCTTACTACTTCATCCGTCTGGAGATCTCTTTTATAAGACATTAGAGACGTTTGGTCCCCCACCCATTGTAGAACGCGAACCTAACATTGTTTTATTTGAACTTTAAATGCACTGTACTTTATCGCAAGGTCACGTGAGAAAACAAGGTCGGATAATTTTTTATTGCTTTTTGGCATAGTATCGTTAGTCCGGACTATAGGTCCAGTTCAGCTACAAACCGATAATTGCTAGGGCCAAGACAATTTTGTTAAGACGCAATTTTAGTCTGATTCCGTGCTGAACATAACTTATTGCCCGCACTCCAAGCCCACATTACTGTCGTACACGTGCAATGGATACGCTTCGCTTCGGTCCGTTATCCAAAAAGTACGAAAGGACCTTTATCGTGTCATGTGACTACACGACTATCGGCTGCCCCGTGACCAGACTGACACTATTAAGCCAAAGGCCAAATGGCCTTCTTTGACGGGCAACATACGAACACTTATTCTGGAAGGCGACCCCGCCAGCACGCGTTTCGCCACGTCGCGAATGTGGTCAGTATGATTTCGCGCTGTGCTGAAGTTGGGCTTCCGCCGCGACGGTTGGTGCGTGTACGCGACAATATAGTTCTTTTTCTGAGCATTTTGATCATTGCAGTCAACTAGTTCGTAGAAAAGCGATGCCTGTAAACAGCTATCTTAATGACTATCGTTGTCAAGAGATCTCACCAGTGACCTAAAAACCAATGAATTACAGTTAAACTGGGATGAATGCATGACACTATTAATTGGAGCAATTTTTGTAACATTCCTCGCGTTTTCGGTGCCATACTAGGGTAGTAAGTAGTAAGTCTGAGCTTCATGTGGAATCCTGTGGCCAACATGCTTTTTTTACCCGCGTTCCTTTTCCGTTGTGGAATTTTAAAATTTATAAAGATACGTGTACGTCATGAGTGTCAGCTGTTGGACCCCGATTTATTTTCACACACGCAGGTGAAAACAGTTGGCGAATTGCGTACCATGTCTCGTGCAAGTTCAGTGCCACGTGCTGTTTAGTATTTATCGAATATTGGTAAAACACGGCTGGAAATGAATAAACCAATGGTAGCATCAGTGATCCTCGTGACCCGAATACATGAAATGTATGTATTGCTTCAGTAACGTAGATATGTTTTCGCACAGTATGTTGAGGCAGCGATAATGCTGTCAGATGATCTGAGTGATGGAGATGAGCTAGAATAATGGGGTGATGGCCATGGCCACACGGTCATTGTTCATCACTTGTACTAACTCTACAGTCGTAATGCTCCATTAAGAATTCGTATTACTGGACCCTCATAGAGGCCTCACCCAGATGCCTTAAAGAACTACGACTTTTGACTCGGCGGGGGGCGGGCCGTTGTATACGTGACGGCCTGACATTCAAGGCTTGTAGGAATGCTCAACTTTAACATTTGGAGCTGCCCAGCAACACCCACCACTAAACATACAGAATACCAGGAGTGAAAGATGCAGGCGTCAGCGACGGGCCGCGATAAAATCGGTTTGTTAATAAAATGGTAAACTCTCGCGATATAGCTGAACCAATGGGAGCCGCGGGCGCATCCCAGTGTCATAAGGTCATTCCGTTCCATGCCACGCACCAAATGCTAACGACTTTTTTACCTTAATTTCTGTTCACTACATGCTTGTTAATAGTTACCCCCATCCACTTTTGTGTGTAAATATTTCTGTGTTTGTTAAATTGTTTTCCGAATTGATTTAACATCCTGTCCTCTTCGACACTTCGCCCCTTAACTGTTTTCGATTCGACTGTTATTTCTGTTGACCTTTATCCGTTTCGCATCTTCGTCCTTCGACTTTGCCCAATTCTACTGCTATTCCTGCAAACTTGTGTACCTTTCGATGTGTTGCCCTTAGACTTATTCGCTTGTTTGTAATCGAATTTTATCCTTTTTATGTCTTTTCCTTAGATTTGTTCCGATTCAACTTTTGTCCCCGTTCAATTCCATCCCATTCGATTACTTGCGGTCGACTTTTTTCGTTCGACTTTTTCCATTCGACTTTTTTGTCAAGCAATCATACGGGATTTGTACTCGGTGCTCGTAACAAGCCCAGCCTGGTGGGCATTTAAGCCACTCGTGGCTGGTGCACGTAGCCCCCGATAAATGTGGTGTTGCGCGTGTGCAAGGTGAGGTGAGAATGAGGAAAAGGGGGCAAATGTTACTTCTTTCGATTTTCGACGCTCATTAAATAAGGCGCTACGTTAGAAACGCACGAGACAAAGTGCAAACATTGTCGTTGCTCTTGCTTGAGCTGTGCGAGAACAACTCGGGCCCAACAGCTGACGCTGGTGGCGGGCCCTAGTGAATTCAA